TTGTAAAAATTATATAAAAGTACGTAAAAATTGAAATTAAAAGAAAAGTATACAGTAAACGTTAGGAAAAGGTATAATAAAAAAATGACTATATAGAAATACAGAAATTAAAAAAATTATAGTTAAATATATAAAAGTATATATTATGTAATTTTAAAAATTATTGTTACAATTTTAAGAAGATTGTAAAAATTATATAAAAGTATATAAAAATTAAAATTTAAAAAAAGTATATAGTAAAGAAATTGTTTCAGTAGGAAGTGATATTTTTGGCCCAAAAAGATTGTAAAAATTATATAAAAGTACGTAAAAATTGAAATTAAAAGAAAAGTATATAGTAAACGTTAGGAAAAGGTATAATAAAAAAATGACTATATAGAAATACAAAAATTAAAAAAATTATAGTTAAATATATAAAAGTATATAAAATACATAAAAATTATATAAAAGTATATATTATATAATTTTAAAAATTATTGTTACAACTTTAAGATTGTAAAAATTATATAAAAGTATATAAAAATTAAAATTTTAAAAAAGTATATAATAAAGAAATTGTTTCAATAGTAAGTGATATTTTTGGCCCACCCTATACATGTAACTCTCTTGTATACAAGCGTGAAAACGGTTATACACACCTTACTGTCGAAATGGGTGATGCAATATTATCTTCCTTGCGTTTCAGCGTGCACCTGTTATATTACATCTTCCGAGCTCGGCGAGGTGAAACACCTGAAAAATCGAATCGTTATTCGATTACTCGTCTTTTGATACTCCCGATATAATCTATAATAGCGTGCCTACGTAATAGCTAGACATGAGGAGAGCTTTGATTTATGATCACTGGAAGATCGCGAGGGAACGACGAAGAACGTCGAATAAGATTTACGATGCTCGCACGTATAATCGTCAACAATCGTTGCTAAGAAATCGTCTGAGAAACTATCAACTTTGATCAATTAATTTCTGCAGCGTATTACGCAACATCACTCTGATGACAGGAAATCAATCGTCACTCACGTTAGAAGAGGAAATTAAGTAAAGATTCGGCGAGACGAGACAAACGCACGCAGAATGTTACAATACAGCGATATAGAGGCAATTAGTTGGAGATCGAAGCCGAACGAGAAGTATTCTTTTCACGCCGAGAGACTGCCGAGGAAAATTGAATTTGCGACGGAGCCTCTCGCATATCGCGGGACGGGCAAATTGAAACAGGCCTGGTAATTTCCTGTAAAGAGAGTGAATCAAAATGGCGCCCGACACCAGGCCGGCCACAAATTGCGGCTTTCCCTTTTACAAAAGTTCGCCCAGTAATGGCGAGCATTCGCCAACTATGACTGCGCCACTGGCTTAATATATCAACAGGCTGGCTGTACGTTTAATCTCGTTTAATCTCGATCCTTTCCGTCGAACGCGAAAATAATTATGTAAAAAAACGATCGTGTTGTTTCGATTCGAATTCGTTCTTGGAAACACGCGATAAGACGGGAGAAGAATCATCCTCGAATGCTCTGCAGGGAGCTCTCGACCAACCATAAATAAATATCGCTCGGGCTAGCGGGCCGTTGAACACTCGTTTGATCTTTCAAAAAAATTACACGCTGCCAACAGCCGTAACGGAAAAAAAAAACCCGTGTCTCCCGTGTGTATATTATTTTTCTATCCGATTCTCCACGCGGATTCGACGTTCAAGCCTGACGACCTTATCGTTTTCCAGCTCGATTCACAGGAACAAATCCCGGTGATATCGGCGTTGCACATTTTTTCCATCGCCGCTTATTGCTAACGCTTCTCGTTCACGCTTGCCGCTTGTCACACTCATTACTATCTATTCGCGATCCTTCAGAAATTTATTTTCACATTCACCCCGCTTGCAGAATAATCCTTACAGAATGGCAATGTCTTTGGAGAATTAATCGGTTCGGATTACATATACCTGATAAGTTTGATCATTCGCTTATATATCACCTCTTCAAACGAAGAACGAATCTTCTGTTTCTCTAAACAGTTAATTCTTGAATTTTCGAATGACAAAAATAATGCTATGATTAAATACAAGATTTGATATTCCTCGTTTTTCTTACAGAATGTAATATCCAGCTCGGATTACATGTATTCAATAAGTTTGATCATTAACTTATTTATTTATTTGTATATGTCAGCCTTTCAAACTGCGATCGAATCTTGTTTCTCTAGACAATTAATTGAATTTAATTATTCGTCAAATTACTTACTAACATGTACACTTGCTGATAAAGTAATTGAATTTTCAAAATCACAATAATCCTATATTTTTCTTATAGAATGTAATGTCTTTGAAG